TGCAAATCATACCTGTAGTCAACAGAGTAACGAATTCCAACAGCAACAGTGACCACAAAGTGCACATGACAGTGGGCATGACGTAACAGGTTGCTCAGAACTTTGGGGGAGTTTGACTTATGCCACGTGATGTGATGCCTACTGAAGTCATCCGGACATTTGTGTGTATTGAACGCGTGTGATGGTAACCTTCCTGTTTTCTAGAAGACAAAAGCAACATAGTGGAGCCAAACTTCTTTTGTAAGAAGCCCCAGTCACTCATTAGTAAGAAGAGGCCTGTAAGTTTCGGTAAATTTTGAGGGCACACAATTCTAGCAAGAGAGAAGGAGTCCAATCAGGACTTGCTTGGTAAAAGAGTGTACTCGACGCTAATGTTACAACATCTCTTGTGATGTCACGCACTTTAGAGTCAACATACTCAATTTAGCACAAATAAGACACTGGGATTTGAATATAAGGCAGGAAACAAACAAGTTCCTGGAATCCTGGTACTTATATTTTTCTGAGAATAGAGGGGTGAATAACAAACTGTAAAGCATTGTTTCATAATGAGGGGGGACTCAAGATTTGGACAATTTTAGTTTAAGGTAATAATTAATAAGCCTAGTAGTTACTGCATTAAAGCTATTGTTTCAGTAACTGCAGGTCCGGCCCACCCTGACTCCAGGGGGCCACAAGCGATTGACCTTTGTGTTCCAGAAAGGACCGTACGCAATCACGGTGGTCTCTGAGCCATTGTGTTCCAGGGAGAGACAGTCCCCAGCCAGGGAACAGGTAAAGATAATCACCCAGGACACAGGACACAGATGAAGAGAATGGTGAGCACAGGAAAGGGTTAGGGAAATTGCTGGACCGCAGTTTTTATCTGATTAAGCTCTTTCCTGAATTCCAAATCCCTTACTTACACTTTTGACAAAAAGGCTAGCTTGAAATGAAATGTAAGACGGCCTTTTAGGGTACAAAACCACCATCTTCTCAGATCACTGGCCATCTGAATAGAGCGGCCATTAAGATTCATTCCCTGTCTCTACTTATTGGGTCTGGTAGGTGACAGGCAACATGAACACTGGCTTTTCCAGTTTCAATAAGATGGTAAAAAGAGCTTTGAAGGAAAGTAAAAAGTGACATGTGACATAATAGGGAATCAGGGATGTATATACTTTTTATATGATGGTAGCCTCAGTGAGTAAGGATGTCACTATTAACCACTTGTATTTCCACGATGTAATAAATGTTAATCACTGTAGCAGGAGCTGGTAGGTTTGAAAGTAAATAGAAGGTGGCAATATGTAATGTCCTGCTCTTTGAATAACTATAATGGTTCCCAATAAAGATATAGACATGGTCTATCACCATTTTTGCCATCATTACAAGTTTTGTACATTGAATATGTGGTTATGACTTTGGATATTGTTATCACAAATGTCTGTGATTCACATCAATACGAAACATCGAGGTATTGTATTGATTTGAATCACAGACATCTGTGGTGTATTTTTACATTTAACATTGTTTGAGAGGACTTTTCACTTATCTTTACATGTTCCAATGTTGAAGTATTTGGCATTTTCATCTTGCTGCTCTGCACGCTGTCACAAGCCATGAAGTCCTTCCAACTCGAGAGTTGCCTTCATCCCACTGTTCCAGCCCATCCCGAGTTGATTCTCAGAGCACAGAGCCCACGTGCAGGAGAGGTTCAGAGATAAAAGGGGATCTAGGTATGTGAGACGCCCTGAGCTAGGGATGAGGTGATGCCCCTTGGGGTCTTCAAAGGGTCACTGCAGGCTGATAAGAGCAGATGTTCAGTAAAGAGAGGCTTGCCCCACTTTATAGGTGGGTCAAAAAGAGGTTATCGCTGATCATCTTTTATTATGGCCAGGGCCCCTCATTGGAGTTCTTCTGGGTAGTTAAAGGGAGGGGCAGAACGTTCTCCTGAGCCTGCTGGTAAAATAGCCTTTAACTCCAAATAACCTGCATACCGCTGAGGCACGGCTTGCGGGGTGGCTAGTTCTGAACCCACACAGGATCCTACACTCTTAGAAAACATGTATACACACCCGAGCCACGCTCTTATGTCACATGTCATTTGCGACTTTCCTTCAAAGCCCTTATTTCCATCTTATAAACCAATGCCTTCTAGGGGTGCTGGACTGCCCTGGCTTGTCACTGCTTGAAAGTGACCACGGGATTTCAGCACCAAAAAGTGACAAGAAATACTCTGGAACCCACTTCAGATTTCAACCAAGGGCAAGGGAAATCTATTGTATAGTGTGGGTTTTAATAAGGCTTGTGAAGAGATAAATGTGTTCCTGCTTCACACAAAGGAGCCTGTTCTTGTCATGGAACCATTTGTTTTCATTTTGTAATGAAAGGTGAATTGGGCTGAGTGGCGGTGCTTGACTTTCGCATCCTGGTGATGGATCTGAGCGCCCCACTGCCTGCCTCTGTGAAGTCAGACAAGTCCCGCAGCTCCCCGGGGTCTCAGTCGCCTCTGTTAGCAGATGTGATCATCACAGTGCTGCTTCCATGTTCAGAAATCTGAAAAGATGAGAAGAAATGAGCCAGTCCTCCCGTGGTGCTGAGTGCCTTACAGTTACTAAGACTCTCTAAAGTGTTTTTTGAATTACTGTTAGAATTTCTGTTCCTTTCTCACTGTCATTACCATTTTAGACTTAAAAGCAGAACTTCTCTCAGTGGGATCTACAACATCCTACAATGCAGATGAATCTTGAAATGCGAGAAACTGGCCTGTAAAACTACTGAGAAGTAATGTTTTTAATAAAGGTCTGTGGTGGCTGTTTTGTTTTCATTATGGGTGTTTATTTTCCACACTTGTAAATCTTTAAAATAAATGTTGAGATAGTTTGTGGTAATTTGTGCATTCCACACAAGATAGAAGAATTTGGTTGATTCTCTCTCCCACTACTACCTCAAATTTTATGTTAATGTTTTAGTCAGACCATGAAGAAAAAAATATTTTTAAGTATAAACATAAATCTTGATGTTGTGTCACTTAAAGGTACTTCATGCTCTCAACCACAAAAAGGATCAATTTCTTCCTTAATCTTTTTCAGAGCCAAGAGTACCTTCCAGAACTTTGGGTAATTTATTCTATTAGAGTCATCTTCCAAGGTCATAAGGAAAAAAATCTCCCTCTCCATTTGTACAAAGGACTCCCGGAGCTCCTCCAGCGGAGCGCTTCGCCTGAGAAGACCATTTTGTAAGACCTCTTGAGTCCTCATGGGTTTTCTGTGGGTCAGGTGGATGTGCCAACACTCAAAGGATATTCTGGCCCTTGTATTTCACATGATGAAAATCACTGGAACCACCTCCTCTTACCAAACACAATTTTAAGATATCATGTCTACAATGATGACCATAGTGATTAAAGGACTTTTTTGGAGTGTTTTTTGGAGAATTTTTATAAGCATTTATTTGCACCACACTGAGGACAGTGTCAGAAAGCAAGATTTCAAATGTTTCCAAAGGACCTTTGACAAGGAGAACAATTCAATGACCATCAGTGCAGGAAGCACATCAGCCCTTTCTGCCCAGATGGAAAGGAGGGCCACTACTGCGCTGTTCAATTCCCACAGGTGCAAAAAGATTTAGGATGGGGAAGGGCAGGGATGAAAGGTAATTTCCTCAGCACCCTCCCAGAATTTCATACTGAAATTCAACAGTATGAGAGAGGAGACCAGGCTTATGCACCCTCCCCAGTGAACACACATTCTTAATATAGAAAGTCCTTTATTTGAAGTGAAGATGAAGAATTAGGAGAAAAAAACAAAACAAAACAAAACAAAAAAAAAGAGGTATCCTGGACATTAGAAAATCAGACTAATTTCCAGGAAAACTGCTTCAAGGATATTGTTTTCCTGAGAGCTGTTAAAAGGAAGATGAAAAATAGGTTATGAGCTAGAAATGTCTTCTCCGTTCCTCAATTCTTTGTACTGAATACCCACAGACTCTCCTTCCCACAGCGTAGTGTAGTACTGGTGAGGCGGCTCCCCGCCGTGGTCCGTCCACCCTGTGGGATGAGTACTGGTTGCAGCCTGAGCCCTCCTTTTCTCTTTCCACTGTGGCTCTTTGGCTCAGTCCCTCAGGTCTCATGTGTCCGATGGCATCCAGGGTTCCTTCTGTGTCCCCAGACATGATGGAGTTATTGTTGCAGTTTGTGCGGACTTGGGTGAGGCTGTTTGTCTCAGGGGGTGCTAAAGGTGAGCATTCCTCAGGGAATGGAGAGGAGACCGTCAGAGACGGTATCTGTGCATACCGCATGGAGGCGGTGCCTGGCAGGGAGTGATGCCCTCCTCGTCGGAATGAACGTTACGCTGGTAGCACAGACTCATCGATCAGGGGGATTATTATATAGGTGAAACCCAGTTTTCTGATGTCTCATTATTGACGGATTAAACAGTGTAACCACAAGTAAGGGGTGGCTCAGGGCCTCGCAGAGTGCCTGAACCACCATTGAAAAAACATGACCACCTGCTTGTGTTCTCTATGGCATAGACATTTTTTTCGTGTCAGAAACACTTCCTAAAGTTAGCCATTCTAAATACCCAAAAGTCATTTCTTCCCCCAGACATGATGGCCTGTTCTCGGTTTCAAGGCACTTTTCCAGAATCTGGCTGAAGTTCTGGAAGGATCCCCACGGATCGCATCCCCGGTATCTGAGCCTGTGCACCCTTCTGGCAAAACCACACGTGACTCCAGTTGCCAACGACGATCGAAATGGAGCCATATTAACCATTGCACATAGTGCGGTGCCTTTTAGTGTCTATATTTGCACGGAAGGCTCGCAGTTGCCTGGTGGGCTTTCAACAGTACGTTTCAGGGCAAATAATCCTTGCCCAGGGAGAGTTCTGGCTGCTTTGGCTCTGGCGGCTGAAACGCAGTCGCTGGGGGCGTTGCCTTGGGAACTGTCCATCAGATCAGGAGCCGTGGGGGCAGGTGGGTGGGGCTACGCTCCGCAGCCACCCGGAAGTCCTGCTCGCTCCCGCCGTGCGCCGGATCGCATCTCTCTTGCCCTTGAAACCCCACGTTTCTCTGCTCATCTTTCGAGCTGTGATCTGTGCTGGTTGTGGGAGTTGTAGGAAGGACTCAGGGAGATTCAGAAAACCTAGAAATGGTGAGTGTGCGACTGGGTGCAGATGCCGGGAGGAGGGGCTGACCGAACCGCCTTGGCGGGAGGGTCTCTCCACGGTCCAGAGTCTGCGGATTCAAGGCCCTTAGGGACTCGGCTCCAACTTCAGTCCCCTCGGGCTCGCAGTGTGGGAGCTGGACCATCAGCTGTGACGCCGGGCGTCTGGTCTGTCCTTGATCGCGGTGTCTTCGGCCCCACGAACGTCTCTGGACAGCTCTGCACCCGCATTCCCGCGGCTCCCCTGTTGGTGCAATGACCACGGGGACGGTTATTGCAGAAAATCTTGACTGGGTAACTTTTCTCCCCCTACTTTTTAAGTAGAAAGAGTACACTTTAAATAAAGATAAAACATATAGTATAATAAATACATAAACCAGAAAATAACAGTCATTCTTCTTTCTCAAGATTGCTGTGGCTATTCGGGGTCTTTTGTGGTTCCATATAAATTTTTGGTATATTTTTTCTAGTTCTGTGCATATGCCATTGATATGTTGATAGGATATTTGTTGAATCTCATTGCTTTGGGTAGTATTGACATTTTAATGCTATAAATTCTTTCTATCCATACATTGAACATTATTTTGTAACAGTTTCAGGTGTAGAACGTACTGGTTAGACAAAACTTTACAAAGTGTTTTCTTTGATATTTCCAGTATCTTCCTGGGACCTTGTGTATTTTGTGGTTATGTGCCAATTCAACATTAAATATTGTGGATTTCAGTGAAGGGCCTTGCAAATGCCAAGTCTCAAGCTGTTTCTCAAGGTCAAGGCCCAGTTTATAGTGTTACAATTCTGCTAGAAAGACTTATTTTATGTAATCTTATCAATTCAGTGTATGGGTCTATGTGTCCTAAAAACTGGTATGAAGTAGCCCTGAGGCTCAAGAGTATAGGAATTTTGCAAAGGTCTAAATTGCCCTGCTTCCTCATGCCTGAGCTCTAACACTGATAATTTCCTGGCTCCATGAAATGAGACAAAAGAATGTTAAGCTGAGTCAGTTTTAAGTATATGTAAAAAATTTTAATTCATACTCCTCCACAACAATACTTTCATTTGGCCAAGTGTATCTGACTACTTTGAATGGTCTGGAGTACTTCAGGACAATATGGCCAGCTGCATTTTGTTGCAAGTTGAAATTTCCATAGACCCCCTGGTCTCCCATGTTTGGAGATATAAATAGAAGAAAAAGATTTCTGGTCTTTATTTTATTCATATTAAAACTTTATACAGACATGACAGTGTTCTTCATGTAGTGCTGCTTGCAAGGAGTTGATATGCTTAAAATGGAAATTTTTTTATTTGTATAGAATTTCTTCAAAGTGCTCTGTGCCCTGACATTAGAGAGCAGTGAAGACTTGAAGTGATCACAATAAAAATGTAACAATAAATTTCATGTGTTTCCAGAGGAAGTGAGTGTGGCTAATAAATACTAGTCTGACAACCAAGTCATAGAATAAATGTTGGGGACTACGTGTCATATGTGAACTTCAAATGATATATGTACAGATCCCCAGTGCTGTCTGTCTCACCCACCCTCCTGTATATACATATGTGGAATGTTCTAGGACTTAGTGGCCTTGGAGGATGTTAATGTGAAGTTCACCATGGAGGAGTGGGCTTGCCTGAATCCGACCCAGAAGAAACTCTACAAAGATGTGATGCAGGAAACCTTCAGGAACCTGGCATCAATAGGTAGTGATGACAACTTCTTACTTACTTATTTAGTCAATTAGAAAACCAGCATTGATTGCTCATTAGTGCTGTTTCATGAAGTGAAATGTGGAAAGAAAATACATAGATAACTAAATTAGGCATGATCACAGCTCATTGTGGACCTGAAATTTAACTATTTTCCATATTCTTTAATAATTTATAATTTTTCTTTCTAGCATGTATTTTAGAAGAAAAATGGGAAGACCACGACGGTGAAGATCAGTATGAAAAACATGGGACAAATCTTAGGTGAGTCACCCTGACGTGAGAAAGCAGTGTCCCATGAGAGAATCTTACTCTGTCATCAAATTTTAAAAACAGGCAAATGAGTCATACTGCCCAGCTTCCAATTTATTGATTCTTAGAGTACTTTCATCAAAATATTTTTCTCAATATGACGCAGGTGTTTAGTGTATGAAAAATAAGTACAATGGAAAGTTTACAGAAACTCCATTAATGAATATTACTGTCTTCATATGAAATCTCTATGATCAAGCCCTATTTCAGAGCTATTAGTATATTCACTTCAAACAGTAAGTATGTGCAGAAACCCTACACTTGCCTTGAAAATGGTAAAAATATCATTGTCATACTAGTAATATAAAATCATTAATTAAAAAGTATTAATGCTATGCTTTTGATTTTTATGGCAGTCATATGTTAGAGACTTGATAAAAGGAAAGGATGTAGAGAAACCTTAAGCCAGGTTCTAAATTATAATGAAAAGCAGAAAACTTACTGAAATAAAACTACATAAATCCAGGTCATATAGACAAGTCTTCATGCATTATTCATTTTTTTAATAGCCACATAAGATTGCCCACTGAACTGAAGCTATTCCAGTGTCAGAAATATGAAGAGGAGTCTTATAAATGCAAGGAATGTGGGAAAGCTTTCAAGCGTCGCCGATATGTTCGAGTGCATGAAAAGAAACACAGTGCAGAAAAGCCCTATGAGTGTACAAAATGCGGTAAAGCCTACAGGTATTCAAGTAACTTACATAGACACGCAGAAATTCATACGCGAGAGAAACCGTATGAGTGTAAGAGGTGTGACAAATCCTGGAGTACACTCACCACATACAAAAGACATATGATCAAGCATGTTAGATGTGGCCCTTTTAAATGTAAGGAATGTGGGAAAGATTTCAGTTGTCTAAGAAACTTTGAAAGTCATGAAATGACACATAGGGGAGAAGAGCCCTATTATTGTAATGAATGTGGTAAAGCTTTCAGTTTACTCAGTTATCTTATAAAACACAGAAGATCTCATGATGGAAAGAAACCTTATAAATGTAAGGAATGTGGTAAAGGTTTCCGTTATCCCAATTTACTTAGGAATCATGAAAAAACTCATATTGCGGAGAGACCCTATGAATGTAAGCAGTGTGGGAAAGCCTTTAGGAGTCCCAGTTACTGTCGAATACATGAAAGAACACACAGTGAAGAAAAGCCCTATGAGTGTATAGAGTGTGGTAAAGCCTTCAGTTTACTTACATATCTTAGCAGACATAAAAAAATTCATGATGGAAAGAAGCCTCATGAATGTAAGGAATGTGGTAAAGCTTTCCTTTATTCCACTTTCCTCAGAATTCATGAAAAAACTCATACTGAGGAGAAACCCTATAAATGTAAGCAGTGTGGGAAAACCTTTAGGAGTCCCAGTTACTGTCGATTACATGAAAAAATACACAGTGGAGAAAAGCCCTACAAATGTAAAAAATGTGGTAAAGCCTTTGGTTACCCAAGTAGTTACCGTAAACATGTGAATACGCGTTGCAGAGATAAGCCCTGATAATGTAAAGAATGTGGGAGAACCGCATTTATGGCTCAGCTCTGCAGTCACCTATGATAATGCAGATTAGAGATGGACCCTGTAAATGTAAGGTCTGTTGGAAAGCATTTATTTCTTCCAGTTTAGTATAAAGAATGAAAGAACTGTCAATGTAAAGATTGTTAGGAAAGCCTTCCATCATCCCAGTTCTTTAGAAAATCATGGAAGAACTCATACCTAAGAGAAAGTCTACGCATATGAGGAACAGGGGAGAGCCTTTTGTAGACATGTAAGAATGCACATGGGAGAGCCACTGTACACATGCAAAGAATGTAGAAAAGCCTTCAGCTGTCCCAGTTCCTTGGAAAGCCATCGAAAAAACCCTCTAGAGAGAATTCTGTTGAATGTAAACAATGTAGGAAAACCTTCATTTTGTCTCACATTCCCCACAGTACCATGTGAAATGTACACTGGATAGATACTGTGTAACTGAAAATGAAGGCAAAGTTTTAATAAATACTTTCAGAGTAGCGTGAAAACTGCACTGGAAGGAAATCATTACTGTAACTGCTACATGTAAACTTGGTGCAAATTAATTCATATACTCCCCAATATTCACAGCATGAAAGAAATACTATAAATGTTAAGACATGTACGGTCATTATCACTGACTCATTTTTACAGTGATTCTCTGTAGTACGGAGTTCTACTTTTGCAAACATACATTGAGGTAATATAATTCTGTAAGTACTCTGTAAGCAAGAGTTTCTAAGTTTAGTAGGTATTTTATCCCTTTCAGTCAGTTAATAAACATTTTGTATTTCTGTATGGAAGTTTGTTAGATCCATGGGTGAATTGAAGTGTTTTACTAATATGCAAGTAGGTTTAACTTTTATGTAATTTTGTAATTGTTCTGTAAATCAAGGGACGTTTAAAAAATGATACTTTGGTGTTTGTTCATTTTTTTTTCCATCTGGCTTCCTGTAGCAGGTATTGAATGCATATGCCTTACCCATATATATATTGTATCTTAACAGAAAAGTGCCTTTTCATTGGCCTGAAGAGCTGTATTCCATTTTCTTGTCATAAATGTTTTTTTTAATTTTTCAATTACAGTTGACATTTGGTTTTACTTTATTCAATAAATATTTGCCACATATTTGTAAGTCTGCAAAGTTCATTACAGAGTATAGTCCCTTGTGAATTATTTTCATCTAGTGTTTGCTTTCTGCCGTTTATTTCGGCTGGGACTTGAACTATGAAGTCTTCATTAAGATGACGATACCTGTGATAGGACAGTAAAATCTAGACTTGGAAATGACACTTCCTGACTCTGTTATATAACATAAGTAATGTCATGATATATAGCAGTGAAATGAGTGAACTACATTTTCTATGACCTGTTGCCTTTATGGTTGCATGTTAGAAATCGACAAGGCCTAACCTACATGAAACTTGAATGCAGAAGTGAAATAGGAGTAGACTGGTTTTGAAGGCACTTGCATAGAGGAGACAGACAAGCATAGAGCTTTTGTGTACATTTGCTTTTAGTTGGTTTTCCTCAGTCTCTTCCCTGCCAGACAAGAATATCCTCTAAACCACCACCCATGCCGGACTTCCACTGATCTCAGGTGTAAGCTTTACAGCTGTTCTCAATTCAACATTAAAGATCCAGCGTAGGTTGGCTTTTCCTGCAAGTCCACCAGGCAACAAATGTTGACTGTTATGGTTGAGACTATTTTCTAAAGCTTACGCTGCTTTTTTTTAGATTGTATTGGTATTAGGTCTACTTTGACGAGTGATCATCTGGTTCCGTTAATACCACTACTGTGTGATTCTGATTCCACTGTGACGTCTACAGTGGCGCAGTGCCAAAGGGCTACAAAACAGTTTGTTCTACCACACTGTGTGCAGTGACTTCTCTGAGCCAGTCCTTCCAGGTGAGAATCAGTCCCTCCTTCATTTCTGGCAGATTCTGGATGTTTCTGGTTACCTGTAGTTCAGCATAACCTCTCATTGATTTTAATTATCTTTGGTTGTATGTGATTAAAATTCTGTGCATTTTTCCTCTAGTAAATGCTTCTCCACTTTCTAAAGAAATAAATACTTTTTCCTAGGCACTTTTATGCTAAGAACTATTTCTGTGTTTTTCATTTCCTGAGGTTTTTTAAAAAAATTTTTTTGTTAAATTTATTGGGTGATATTGGTTAATAGGATCATATAGGTTTCAAGTGTACATTTCTGTGATGCTAGATCTGTGCCTTGCACTGTGTGCCCCCCACCCAAAGTCAAAACAGCTTTTGTCACCATACATTCCCCCCTTTACTCTAGCAACTATCACATTGCTGTCTGTGTCTGTGATTTTCAGTTTTAAGTCCCACATATGAGTGAAATCATGTGGTTCTTAGTTTTTTCGGACTTATTTTACTTAACATAGTCTTCTCAAGGTCCATCCACGTTGTCACAACTGGCAGTATTTTGTTTTTTCTTGTGGCTGAGTAGCATTCCATTGTGTGTGTATGTACCACACCTTTGTTATCCAGTCCTCTAACAAAGGTCGCTTTCGTTGTCTCCATGTCTTGGCCACTGTGAATAACGCTGCAGTTACTATAGGGGTGCCTGTATCTTCATGAATACAGGCTTTCAAGCAGATACCCAGGAGAGGGATTGTTGGGTCATATGGTAACTGTTCTTAAACTGAGCAACCGCCAGACTTTTTCATAGGGGCTGTAGCAGTCTACATTCTCACCAGCAGCGAATGAAGCTTTCCTTTGCTTCACAACCTCTCCAAGACTTATTACTTATCTTGTTGGCAATAGCCATTCTAACAGGTGTGAGGTCGTATTTCATTGTAGTTTTGATTTGCATTTTCTTAATAGTGAGTTTGAACATCTTTTCATATATCTGTCAGCCGTTTGTATGTCTTCTTAGAAGAGGTGTCTGTACAGGTCCTGAGCCCATTTTTAAATTGGATTGTTTGTTTTATTGTTGTTGAGTTGTATAAGTTCTTTTTATATTTTGGATATTAAACTTTTGTTGGAGCTGCTGTTTGCAAATATCATTCCATTCAGTCAGTTGCCTCTGTTTCTTTTGCTGTGCAAAAGCTTTGTAGTTTGATATAGTCCCACTCACTTATCTATGCCTTTATTTCCCTTGCCTTTGGGGTCAAATTCATAAAATGTTCTCTGTGACTAAGATCTGTAAGTTTAGTACCTATGTTTTATGTAATTTATTGTTTCAGATCTTACAGTTAGGTCTTTGATCCACTTTGAATTAATTTTTGTACATGAGGACAAACTGTAATCATTTTATTTTTTTGCATGTTGCTTTCCAGTTTTCCCAGAACCATTTATTGAAGAGGATTTCTTTTCTTCATTGTGTGTTTTGGCTCCTTTGTTGAAAACTACGTGTCCATGTACATGTGGTTTTATATCTGGGCTTTTAACTCTGCTCCATTGATCTGTATGTTTGTTTTTCTGCCAGTCCATTCTGTTTTGATTACTGTAGCTCTGTAGTGCAATTTGAAGTCCGGTAGTGTTATACCTCCCATTTTGTTCTTTTTTTCTCAGAATTGCCTTGGCTATTCAGTCTTTTGTGGTTCCATATAAATGTGATGACTTTTTTGTTCTACTTCCTTTAAAAATGACATTAGGATTTTGATTGGGATTACATTAAATCTGTATATTGCTCTGCGTAATGTGGCCATTTTAACTATGTTCTTCCAATCCATGAACACAGAGCATCTCTATTTCATTGTAGTTTTTCAATTGCTGTTAATAAAGCTTTGTAGTTTTCAATGTATAGGTCTTTCACATCCTTTGTTAAGTTTATTCCTAGGTATTTATTCTTTTAGTTACAATTGCAAAAAAAAAAGAAAAGGAAATTATTTTTAAAAAATTTCCTTTTCTGAGGTTTTATTGTTAGTATACAGGAAAGCAGTGGATTTTGTACATTGATTTTGTATCCTGCAATAAACTTTGTTTATTATTTCTAATAGTTTTTTTGGTGAAGTCTTTAGAGCTTCCTATGTACAGAATCATTTCAGCTTAGATATGTCTCTTTTGTTTTTTGATCCAGTCTGCTACTCTGTGCTCCTTTACTGGTGAATTCAGTCCATTTATATTTAGGGTAATTACTGATGTATTAGGATTTCCTATAGTCATTTTATCTTTTGTTTTCTGGTAGGTTTTTGCCTTCATTGGTTCTCTTCCTTTGTGTTTCCATCTGTTGTTTTTGTTTGGTGGTTATTCCATACTTCTTTTTTTAAATTATATTTTATTGATTATGCTATAAGTGTTGTCCCAATTTTCCCCCTTTTCCCCCTCCACCCAGCAACCCCCACTTCCTCAGGCAATCCTACTCCCTTTCCTATACTGTACTTTTACATCCCCATGGTTATTCTGTAACTACCTATTTGCACTTTTAATCCCCATACCTCCTCACCCCTTCCTCCAAACCCCCCTCCCATCTGGCAACCATCGAAACACTCTCTGTATCCTTGATTTTGTCTCTGTTCTTGTTTGCTTAGTTTTTAGATTCAATTGTTGATAGATATGTATTTATTGCCATTTAATTGTTCATAGTTTTGATCTTTTTCTTAAGTAAGTCCCTTTAACGTTTCATATAATAATGGTTTGGTGATGATGAACTCCTTTAGTTTTTCTTGTCTGGGAAGCTCTTTGTCTGCCCTTCAATTCTGAATATCTTTTCTGGGTAGAGCAATCTGGCTGTAGGTCCCTGCTTTTCATAACTTTGAATATTTCTTGCCAATCCCTTCTAACCTGCAGTGTTTCTTTTAAGAAATCAGCTGACAGTCTTTGGGATTTCCCCTGTAGGTAACTAACTGCTTTTCTCTTGCTGCTTTTAAGATCTTTTCTTTATCTTTAACCTTTACCATTTTAATTATGATGTGTCTTGGAGTGGGCCACTTTGCATCCATCTTGTTTGGAACTCCATGCTTCTGGGCTTGCACATCTAGTTCCTTCATCAATGTAGGGAAGTTTTCTTACATTATTTTTTCAAATAGATTTCTAATTTTTTGCTCTTTCTCTTCTCCTCTGGGCGCCCCTATGATGCTAATGTTGGACTTTTTCGAAGTTGTCCCAGAGGCTGCTTACACTAACCCTTTTTTTTTGACACCTTTTTCTTCTTTTTGTTCTGATTGGTTGCTTCCTTATATTCCAAATCACTGATTTGATTCTTGGCTTCATTCATTTTACTGTTGTTTCCCTGTAAAGTGTTCTTTATTTTAATTAATGTATCCTTCATTTCTGACTGGATCTTTTTTATGCTGTTGAGGTCCTCACTAAATTCCTTGAGCATCCTTATAACCAGTG